GAGTTGTGATCGTGGAGAACGTGCCTGACCCTGGGGGTTGGGACAATGAGGGGCTGTGGTCCCCCTCCCCACCAAAAGCTTGCTGGGGAAAGTGTATCACACCTGAAATTTTAAGTAACAAGCCCCAGGGCCTGGCTTCCGAGGCAGAGGCAGGGACAAGGGGGCCAGGAACCTGCCGGGCTGGGGCTTCAGGGATGAGGCAGGTTCTAATGGGGAGGAGCTTTTGGGGGGCCTGGGGTGGGCGGAGTGCTCCAGGGAGCCCAGGCCTCTGCACAGGTGAGCTCCTGCCCTGTCATCTGGTTTTGCCCTTAGAAAGGATGGACGGTCTCCCTTCCCAGCGGCACTTCCTGAGGTCAGAGCACTGGGATTGAAGGCCCCTCTGCCTGCCCACTATCCTTCTCCTCTGGTCCTGTCTCTCCTGGTTTCTTCCTCCTAGTCTTTCCTGCCCTGGTCTTTTCTCTGCCCTCCTCCCTGCTCCCTGCTTCCCCTCCCTCTTGCTGGTCAGGCATGTGGGTCATATTGTGGTGGGAGCCAAGAGACCCCCTTCCTGCTGGCTGTGTTAGGTGAACGAAGGAGACAGGCCACTCTCAGGGCATCCCTGGGCTCACACAGGGGAGACACAGCCCCCACTCCCAGTGAGCTTCCAGTCCGAGTAGGGATATATAACTTTTATCCTACGAAGTGTCCACCCTGAGAGGAGAGACAAAGCCTCTCTCTCAGGAAGCCTGGGCCACATTTGCCCCTAAAAGGAAATCACTCAGGAGCATTGAAGAGTAGGTACCAAGGAGGGTGAGTTAATGGGGAGCAACTGGCTTCAAAGGCCATGAGGGCACAGAGCAGAGTGGGCAGGTGAGGCATGACTCAGGGGCCTGGGAGGCTGGGGTCTGGAATGTGGGAAGGAGCCTGGGGTCCCTTCGGGATTTCTGCCTTGGCTCCCCCAGGCCCTCAGGGCCCCCTCAGCCAGTCTGCGGGACACCTGAGTGGCTGCCCTCCCATCCTCCCCCATATCTTCCTCAGGCCAAGGAAGAAGGGAGAAGAAAGGAGGAAGGAAGGGGAGGAAGGGGCAGAGGGAAGAAGTCAGTCCTGTCAAGCTGGAGTCTTCTAGCCTTCGGGAAGCAGCAAGGGTTCCCACATGTGCCTCCCTCAGGCCTGGGTCCCATCTGGGGCACTGGGGCCTCTGGGCCCTTCTTGGGGAGAGGCACTGTCCAGCTGATGTGGCTCTGCTGGGAAAGGCAGGGTGTCCTCGGGTGGCTGAATCCTGTCTCGGCTCAACCCTGGAGCAGATGTTTCCTGGAAACCAGTTAGAGGGAGGTGGCTGAGTCTGCTTGTCCCTGGGAAGGGGAGCACCTGGGGACCCCTGTTGTGCAGGGGGTACTGGCAGACCACCCTTTCCTCTGACTGTCCTAATTAGGAGGAGGTTCCTGGGAGCCCCAGGAATGCTCTGCATCTCCCACAGCCCCCAGGTAGGCGGAGGGCAGGGCCTTCTTTGGAGCCAGACACGAAGCATTAGTGGTTAGAGCTGGGCGGGGCGGCCCTGGGGCCTCAAGATAGAGGCTGAGGAAACAGAATAGAGGGAGGAGAAGATTCCACCTGATGGCAGGTGTGGCTGGGTGAGGGTGAGCTTCTGAGGGGGCGCCTGGCCAGGGGTGGGCATGTTTCTGGGAGCTCCTTGGTGGCCCTGCGTATTCTGTCCAGGGCACAATGCCTATGGGTGAGAGAGGCTCAGTGTCTGGGAGAAAAGGAGATGACAGGCCCTAGTGGCATGGGTCTAGGGGTGGAGTCAAGGTCTTTGGGACCCCTGAAGGATCTGGGATCCTCTCCTCATCAGCTAAGCCAAGATCCCAGCTGGGAGTACTTCCCCAGATCCTGGGCCTCTCACTTCCCCGACCTCACTTGGTATGGACACTTTTCCTTTGGGAGGAGGGTAGAAGGCCATGTATCCCCTTCCTAGGTCCTGTCTCCATTCTGGTCATGGCCCAGGCTCCCTGTTCCTAACAACTCAACAGGCACTTACAGAGCACCTGCTGCATACATGCTGTGCCCTGTGTTCTGGGTGGTGGCGAGGGGTGGGCATTGTCCGGGGGGTGACAGTTAATGCTTTGGGGGCCTGTAGGAGCCTAGGTCAGCTGGTCCGATGTGGCAAGACCTTTGTCAACATCAATGTGCATCTATTGAACATCTACTGTATACAATGGCCCCCAGGTCACTCTTCCATCAACATTGTAGGGTGGGTACATTCCCGGGAACCCTCTCCTAGCACCCTGGTCCTGCTCAAGTCTGAGGCAGGGCCTGCTGTTCTCAGCTGGAGAGCACGCTGGTGGTTCAGCAACCTCTGGAGAGGAGACCCAGGGCCTGTGCGGGTTGGTCAAGCCTGGGGCCGGTGTAAGGATGCTGGGTGAGGCTGGGAGCTCTCCCACCTGTCTCCCAGGGGCCTACTCCTCCTGTCCCCTCCCTTATTGTGCTGAACTCCCAGCAGCCTCTGGGGCTGGAGTGCCTCCTCCTTTTCCTCTTCTCCTTGTGGGCCAATTGCTGACAACTGTGGGGGCTGTGGGCCTGGCGCTGCCCCTCTGGCAGCCAAAGGCCTCTCCTTGCCGGGGGTGGAGGACAGGCCCAGGCAGGAGGAGTCATGGCCCAGAGGACCTCAGCACAGCCCTCTGGCTGGCTCCTGCCAGGCCTTCCTCGCCTGGCAGGGAGACTGGGCTCTGCTGGGGCCCTGGCTTCAGGCCTGGCTCTGCCCGCTCGGGCTGGGCTGGGCTGCCCCACCCACCCGCCTGCCTGCCACTCCGGAACCCTGTGCCTTGGTTTCCTCACAGCGTTGTTTGGGAGATCTGGCAAGCTCTCTCTTTGCTGTGTAGAAGGCATGTCCGGGTCTTTTTAGGTCTCTCTGGAATGGCCACAGCCTCCAGAGGGCCAGCAAGGCCTCCGTGGGGTCTCACTCTGCAGTTTTACTTGGGGAGAGGGGCTGAGCTCGGCCTGTCCTTCAGCAAGTGAGGCCTCTATGAGCAGAGGTGCCCGATGGGGCCCCACAGGTCGTAGGGTCTCAAAAGTCCAGAGGGAAAGGGCCTGGGAGTGACTGGTGTGGGGACACTGAGGCCCAGGCCTTGGCACACAGCCTGATGTCAGGGGGATGTGATGGGGTAGTGAGGCCCTGGTGATTGTGAATGGAGAATAAATGCTCTGCCCTTTCAAACTGAGCCTCATAACTAAGGCCTGGGGGCTTTGGAGGTAGGGTGAGGGCTGGGGCAGGGGGCTCTGGGGAGAGGCAGAAGGTGGGTGGTGCCCTGTGGCCTGGCCCCCTCCCCGGTGCCCTGGCTCTGTTCCAGATTCAGTGCTGGAAGGCAGGCCATCCCTACTCTTTGCTGAGTGAGGCCTGCCTGGAGGAGGTCAGTCAGCTTTTCGGCAGGGTTGGGGAGGGGAACAGGGGAAGGGTTCCTTGGAGGGTGGCTCCAAGGGGGAAGGTCATTCCTTGTGAGGGGAGTGGTGGGTGTGGGGCCTGCCTCTGACCCACTCAAGGGACCCCCAGTTATGTTGGTTCCCTCCCCCAGGACTGCCTGGGAGGAGCAGGAATTCCTCAGGGAAGAGCCCTGGGGTCCTGACCTTGCTTACTAGCCTTGACCTGGACCCCCAGCCACCACCCCCAACTCCCCGCCCCGGCCCAGGAACCCTGGGAACCCCCAGACTTCACAGGCAGGGTGGGAGCAGGGTATGGTTGAGGTTTGTCCCCTCTCTGTAGCTCGCGCAGTCCTCGTTCTCTAAGCCAGGAGACACCTTTGCGTGCGAGGCCACCCACTTTCTAGGCAGGAAGTCCTCCCGGCAGTCTGGTCTCAGCACAACAGCACTGATCTGCATGGAGCCCCGACTCCCTCCCTGTCCCTGTGTGTGGGCTCAGGGCCCGGCCACCCACGGGCCTCCACCCCAAGCCAGGCTCGCCCTCCCCTGCCTGTCCCCTGCCAGTCCCCGCGGGCCTCATCACCCCAGGAAGCGCCCCATTCAGACGGGCCCTGTGCAGACGCCAGGGTCCTGGCAGCGCCTAAATCATTAGCACCGTGGAGATTAGGCTTGTAATCTCCTTGTTGGGTGTGGGCAGCTGCCAGCCGCCCGGATGTGGGATTGCATGGCTCCCTCGCAGGGGCGGCCCTTCCCCAAGGCGCAGCGCAGACAGAGGGGTGCCCACCGCCGCGCAGATCCTACTTCTCCTGCTCCCTGCGCCTCCTCCGGGCTCCTTGGGAGTGTCTTTCCTCGGTTCCTGCGGGGGATGAGCAGGACGGGTCACCCAAACCATCTGCTTCCTCCTCTCCCTCAGCCCCGGCTTGACTGATGTCACTATCTCTCTGGATTCCCTCAAAGACTGCGGGAGGCAGGAATTACCCCCGTTTTACAAATGAGGCAAATGCCTGAGAGGCTTGGATCCAAAGTGCCCTCAGGTCAGCTCAGATAGGGCATTCCTGGGCCAGGGGCCATGTCTCCTCCCACAGACTCGTAATAATACCAAGAAATAATACCAATAATACCCGCAGGACCACGCTGTACCTGGGGGTGGGTGTCGCCCTGAATCTCTCCACCTTCTCCCAGGGCCCCAGGAATGCTGGGTGGGGGGACAGAGCCGCCTCAGGCTCCAGACCTGTGGAGCCTTGTTCCAGGCCCTTTCTGGCTCTCAGGGCTGGGTTCTCCGGACTCCCCCCAAGAATGAGCTCAGCCGCCTAACTGCGGTTGAGGATGAAGGATCACCCTACCCCGGGGCTGTGGCTCCAACACCACCTTTGTTTCTAACAGACAATGGACAGCTAAGAGGCCATCTGCCCAGGCCAGGCTTTGGCACAGAGGGGGCCCAGGGGATGCACTTGGTGTGTCCAGCCTGAGCCCCAGGCCCTGGGTGCTGGTACAGGAGCAAATTGCATAGCTGGAGTTTTGGCTCTGACTTCAATGGCCAGGGGCCCAGCCCCTTTTTAGCCTGGCTATAAAGGGCTGCTTGGGGTCTCTGTCCAACCAGACCTTACTCCTGAGTTTCGGACACCATGGCTGCCACCACCAGCATCTGCCAGTTCCCCTCCTCTGGCTCCGTCAAGGGCCTGTGCGTGCCTGGCGGGGGTTTCTCTCGGATATCTTCCTTCCGTGTTGGGGGTGCCTGCTCGGCCCCCAGCCTCCTGGGACCCGGCAGCAACATGTCAATGTCCTCGTCCCGCTTCTCCGCAGGCTTGGGGGGTGGCTACACTGGGGGCTACATCTGCAGCCTGGGTGGGGGCTTTGGCTCCAGCTTTGGCGTGGCGGAAGCCCTGCTGGGGGGCAGCGAGAAGGAGACCATGCAGAACCTCAATGATCGCCTGGCCTCCTACTTGGAGAAGGTGCGTGCCCTGGAGGAGGCCAACGCCGACCTGGAGGTGAAGATCCGGGACTGGTACAAGAAGCAGGGCCCCGGGCCTGCCCGTGACTACAGCTCCTACTTTAAGAGACCACTGAGGACCTTCGAAGCAAGGTGGGCGCTCCCTGCCCTCTGTCCTTAGTGCCTGCTTCTGACTCATGCCCACCCTACTTTGGACCTTTGTGAACATTTCTCCTCCACCCTAGGTCTCCATCCTTCCTTCCTTCCTTCCTTCACTCACGCTCTCACTTGCTCTGGAACCCAGCCTTGTGCTAGTCAGTGGATCCAGGCCTGGAGGACATCCTGCGCAGGGAGGTTGTTCGGAGTTCTCCCTTTCTCTGGGAGGGTATTTGGGCTGAGCGATGGAGGAGTGGGCAGGGAAGACTTCAGAACCTTGGGGGCAGCAGGTGGCATTCCAGGTATAGAGATCAGCGTAGGCAATGGCACAGAGGTGGGAAAGAGACGGTGTGGCTGCTGAGAGATGAGGATGAATGTCTCCTCACTGTCCCATTCTCCTCTGGGTTTGGCCCTCTGCCTTCCTCACCTCCTCCAGGCTGTCCTCCTGGATGGATGCCTTTTATCCTCAGATCTTGGGGTCCCTTCCACACTTTGAGGTTCAGTCTGTGCTCTGTTCATTGTACTGATTTCTCTGAGGCTGGCGTGTTCTCACAGCTGCTTTCATTGTGGGTCCTTCTCACTCCCTCCATGATGGTCACTCAGGGGGTCCCTAAGGGCAGGGGCTGACTCTTCTTGTAGATTGTTGGTCGGGGGGGGGGGTCCCTGAGGAAAGGAGCTATGTCTTTCCACTTAGACTGGAAGCTCCCAAGTGGAGAAATTTCTCTAGATCAGTCTGATGAAGAACAAACACATACTTACACATACATTCATAACCTCTATGAACATGACCTTGGCATTCTGTAAATGTGCACCTGGGTCTTTTGCCCAAATCTTGCCCCTGGAGGGTCTTACAGGGCTGCAGCCTCCAGAGGCAGGTGAGAGGTCAAAGAGGGGCTGGAGACAGGCTTGGGGAAAGTGGGGCTGGGGGCTGGCTGGGCCGGCATCAGCCCACTCAGTGTCCTGGTGCAGAACCAGGCCTGCTGCTGCCCTGCAAGGGGCTTTGCCAGCTCTTGCCTGGGCCCTCCGCCAGAAAGGGAACTCCTGCAATTGCCCCCTGGAAGTGGAGCTACTGGGAGTGCCAGATCAGATACTAGGCTTGATCTGGACAGCGGGGAACCCAGGGGAGCCCTGGTGAGTCAGTGTTCCTAAGCTTTGGGGTGAGCCAGCTTCTCACTGCCAATCCCCAGGGCAGGGCACCCTAGGCCTCCAAGTCACTGCCCCACAGGAGTTTTCATTACCGCCCCTCACTGGGCCCAATCAGCCTCCTGAGCAGGGAGGTTGGTAAGGGGTGGGTGTGCAGGCTGCAGACAGGCCCACTGAGGCCCTGGGGTGGGTAACCACCTCTGGGTTTGCCCCTCTACCTGCCACGCCTCCTCCAGGCAGTCCTCCTGGATGGATGGTGCTTGCCTTTTATCCACAGCTCTTGGGGTCTTTTCCACACTTTGAGGTTCAGTCTGTAAAGGGAGCCTGACCCAGGGCTGCTTCTCAGGACTTAGGGCCTTGAACCGGCTCTGAGGAGCCAGATGAGTTTTTTGGGGTCTGCTTTTGCCTGCTGGGGCTGCCCCCTCTTACATCCCCTAAACTTCAGCCCTCAGCTTCAAAACTTCCAAATTCTACCCAGCTCATCTGCCATCTTGACCAAGACCTCTTCTCTGCTTCTTCTGGGCAGAGTGGAGGGGCCTCTCCCTCCTCCCACCCCCATGGCCCTTGACTGGGGCCTCTCTCGGGTATTTCTCACAACAACAGTGACAGCAGCAGTTATAATAACCAACCGTCTGCTCCTTCTAGAGCCCCTCCCTTCCCTGTTGTCATTTAAACCTCTGTGGGGAAAGAAAATTTTGCCTTAGGTTTGAGGTGGGGCTGGCATAACTTTATTAATTAATTAATTAATTAAACTCATGTTTCCCTGGGAGGTGACTCTGGGCCAGGCACTGAGCCCAGAGCCAGGGAGTCCAAGGAAAATGAGACAGGCATGGCCTTGTTCCTCTGGAGCTCAGAGTTCAGTGGAGGAGGAAAAAAATCCCACACAAAACAGCCATGTTAAAAATTGCACTTGGGTGAAGTACTGTGTAAGAGAGGTGGGCTAAGACAGGGAATCAAAGAGGGCTTCCTGGAGGAGGTGGCCCTGAGCTTAGAGGTGAATTTAGTTGGGGAAGATGGAGTGAGGTCCAGGCAGCTTGGTGGGAGAGGGGTGCATGTGAGTCTCTCTTCTGGCATCATGGGTATCATGCCCCCACCACTCGTGAGCCCCATAGCAGGGTGCTCAGAGGAGGAGGCCACAGGGACTCTCGTCTCCCTCACTCTGGCCCACTCTTCAAAGGGCTGCAAGAGGGGTGCTGCAAGGCCTTCCCAGGGCTGCCGAGGTGCTTGCTCACCAAGCCCACCATGTCCCCCAGATCCTGGCAGCCACCATCGACAATGCCAACTTGGTGCTGCAGATCGATAACGCCTGCCTGGCAGCTGATGACTTCCGCACCAAGTGAGTCTGGGCCTCCGGGGTGGCTCAGGGGGCTGGTGGTGGGTTTGGCTCTGTTTCCCACAGAGGCTCCTGTGTGTACGAGGGGTACCCCATGGGTCGTGCTTCTTTGCCTCCCTGGCTCCCAGGTACGAGACGGAGCTGAACCTGCGCATGAGCGTGGAGGCCGACATCAACGGCCTGCACAGGGTGCTGGACGAGCTGACCCTGGCCAGAGCCGACCTGGAGATGCAGATTGAGGGCCTGAAGAAGGAGCTGGCCTACCTGAGGAAGAACCACGAGGAGGTGAGGCCAGCTCGGGAGTGCAGGAGAAATCCACTTGGGAACAAGCAGAGTTGGGGCCCCCAAACCTTCCTGGACCAGGGCCATGCACTCCATCCAGTTTCCATCTCTGGCGGGCTCCTAGCCTGACCCTGGGAGACCCTCAGAGGGCCCTGGTTGAGACCTGGAAGGCCCTCTCCTCCCAAAGATACTTCCTTTGTCCCTAGAGGCATGGACTACCATGTGGTGGCAGTTAACTATCTAATGGGTGAATCAGTCTAAGAACACGCATGCTAATTATTATAATTAATTATAATAATGATAGTCATAACAACAACGAACATCTGCCCAGCACATTACAAGTGATTCACAGCAATTATCTCAGCTGATACTGGTAGCATCGCTGGGAGAAAGAAGCAAGTTCCTCCCTTTACCAGTGAAGAAACTGAGGCTCAGAGAGGTTAAGGGATTTATCCAAGGCTGCACAGATGTCTTCCCTCAGGTCTGCCTGAGCCATATCTGCACCATCTCTGACTCCACCACTCTACCACTTCTCCCACCTCCCAGGGACCCCAAGGCTCAACCCAAGGATGGGGTTCCAAGACCCTGCAGGGAGATTCATGAGCCTCATGGCTTCCTTCCCGTCTGACCTCTGGGCTGGCCTGACTTGAGGGAGCCTAATCTCCAAGTAGCAGGAGTCCAGAAAGTGTCTCCACTTGGCTTTGAGGCTGGTTGTAGGGATTGCACCCCCTGCCCCCCACAGATTCACGTTTCCGAAAGAGATCTGACTCCCTCGATACTGACAGGAGGCTGCCTTCCCTGAGTGCATGCTGTGTGGTTGGCAGTAGGGGGCAAGGCAAATCTGGGTGGTGAGTGAGGTTGTCCTGGCTCATCCCCCATAGTGTTGGGCTGTTGCCATCTCTCCTGCCCCAGCGCACACCGGGATTGGGTGAAGTCCACCCCCCAAATGTGCGTCGGGGGGATTGTCGATATTCACAGCCCTGCACGTTTGAGACATGAAGACATCTGCCTCTTTCTTCAGGGTTTGGAGCCATTGGCCTGTCTGTGTGTCTGTCTGTCCTCTGCACCCATCTCCCTGAGGCAGAGAAGGCAGCCCCAGGGACTCTCCCCGGGATGGCCCTGAGTGAGCTCCTGCTCCCCTCTCTGCCCAGGAAATGAACGCCCTTCGAGGCCAGGTGGGCGGGGACGTCAACGTGGAGATGGACGCCGCCCCTGGTGTGGACCTGAGCCGCATCCTGAACAAGATGCGTGACCAGTACGAGAAGATCGCGGAGAAGAACCGCAAGGACGCTGAGGACTGGTTCTTCAGCAAGGTGGGTGGCCGGCGCGAGCAGGTGTGCACACGTGTGTGTGCATGTGCTGTGTGCTGAGCATGGGCTGGAAAATTACAGATCCACAGATTGTGGATTTCCAGATGGAAGGACCTTTGGAAACCAATTGGACCAACCCCTCACGTTCAGGGGGAGATTGTGAGGCTAGAGAGGCCTCACACACACACACAGCCCTTCACTGTGGCCTGGGGAGCAGGTCCAGATCTCCTGACCCTATAGGGCGTCTTCCAGCCTGGGCATTCGTAGTATGTGTGTGTTCAGGTGCGGACTCATGCCCTCAGTAAGCACAAACTGAGCAGCTGCAGTTCCCCGGGCAGTGACAGGCACACAAAGAGTAAAACCCAGGGCCTGCCCTTGAGTCCTGTCCGCAGCCCAGTAAGGAAGCACATACGGCAGAGCAAGGTGAATTCTGCAGTCTGGGCACAGAGGGTGTCTGTGTGCAGTGGGCTTGGGGCCCCACAGAGAGCAGGGAGGGTCAAGTCTGAGAGGTCCCACCCTGTCCCACCTTGGCCAGTGTCCTCAAGCCCCTGGGGCCCACCTTGCCTTCCAGACAGAGGAGCTGAACTGCGAGGTGGCCACCAACACTGAGGCCCTGGGCCCAGAGCAGCCGGACGGAAATCACAGAGCCACGCCGCTCTGTGCAGAACCTGGAGATTGAGTTGCAGTCCCAGCTCAGCATGGTAGGGCCTCTGTCCCCTCCCTGCCCTGGACCTGTCACCCCAGGCTGGGCCCCACCTTGTGCACCCCAATTTGGATGACCAGAGACTCCTTGCCTGCCACTTCACACTTTGCCCCACCTACCGCCCCACCGCCCCACCGCCCCACCGCCCTCACCCTTCTGGGGGCTTCACTGTAGGGAAGGGTCCCAGCTCCGTTTCACCCACCACCTGCACCTTGGCCCACAGAAAGCATCGCTCGAGGGCAGCCTGGCGGAGACCGAGGCGCGCTATGGGGCCCAGCTGGCCCAGCTTCAGGGGCTTATAAGCAGCATTGAACAGCAGCTGTGTGAGCTCCGCTGTGACATGGAGCGGCAGAACCATGAGTACCAGGTGCTGCTGGATGTGAAGACACGGCTGGAGCAAGAGATCGCCACCTACCGCCGCCTGCTGGAGGGCGAGGATGCCCAGTGAGTCTGGGGCACCTGGCAGATGCTTGATTGGCTGGGGTGGCTTCACCCAGGGAGGGTCGGCACCAGCCATGGCCAGGGGGAGAGGTGGAGGTTTGCAGGAGATGAAGCTGAGAGCATTGGCTGGGCTCGACTAGATGGTGTAGGCACTGGGGCGGCACGGTGGGTGGGGAGGGGATTTTGTGCAGAGATGGGTGTGATCATTAAGGTATCTCAGAACATTCCCTGTAGCCACAGAGGGGGAAATGCATCCAAGGGGGCAGGGTGGAGGTCAGGGAGACCTGTCAGGAGACAGGGGCAGGGAGTCAGGCCAGAGAAGTCCTGCTAAAAGGTGGGGCAGAGGGCAGGGAAGGGGAAGTGGTACACAAAGAGGATGTGTGATAGCTAAAAACAGCAGGGCTGGATGCCTGAAAGCACGGGCGAGCGTGGCTCGCAGGCAGGGCTCAATAAATGTTGAGTAAGCACACGAAGGAGTGGGTAATAATGACTCTAGGTTTCTGGTTCCAGTGACTGTGTGGTTGACTGGGATGGGTGGCAGTCTGGTTCGGAGTTGGGAGGGTGATTAGGTTAGTGTAAATGGGCTGAAAATGTCCTGGAGCCTCCATGCTTAGTCATATAGTCCATCTTTTTTGCTTCTTGACAATGGCTAAGTCCATCTGTAGTTTAACCACAGTCTCTCCTTCTTTAATTAAGTCTACTTGTTGGGCCCTTCAGGGTATGAAAATCCACTTGCTCAGCTTCTCCTTGTAAATCCCTGGCTGGCCGCAACGTGCCTCTAGGCCTTCTGTTAGGGTAGCCCCTTTCCTTAGTTTTGCCCCCTGGGCCTGTGCCCTTTGACCCTGTGGTCCCCATTCTTTTCTGTGTACTCCCAGCTGTGATTTCTCTCCAGTTTGCTGGGACCTCTCTCCCCTCACCCCAGCCTCCCCAGCTGCTCCTCCTCCCAAGGGGCTGGACTCCCAACTGGCACCCCTGAGCTGACAGGCCCCCCTCTTCCTGCAGCCTGGCCGCCAGTACTCCTCGTCCTTGGTCTCACAGCCCACCCGGGAAGGTAAGAGCCTGCCCTGTCCTGCCCAGGGCCGGTGGGGAGAGGCTGAGGACCCTCCTCTGTGGGAGGCTTAGAGAGGGCCTCCAGCCTGAGTTTCCCTGTGCCTCCCTCCTCCTCTGCCCGCAGCCACGATAACCACTCGTCAGGTGCGTACCATCGTGGAGGAGGTCCAGGATGGCAAGATGGTCTCCTCCCATGAGCAGGTCCACCGCTCCACCCACTGACGCCCCTTTCCACCTGTGACAGCCCAGCCTCGAGGGTCAAGGGGCAGCCATCGCCTCCAGCTCCCAGCACGCTACGGCCAGCCCCCACATGCCCGTCTGGGCCACTGCCTAAGAGCTGTTGCCTTTCTGTGTCTGCTTCCCACCGCCCCTCACTGAGGGGGCCTCCTGGTTTGGCCCCAGTGACTGCAATTAAAGCTTTGCATGAAGTTCAGTGCCTCCTGTGATTTTGTCTGGTCATTGGCTTGAGTGATGTGGGCTGAGGGATGAGGGGACACGGAGAGTTTGTTGAGTGTTTGGGGCTGCTTGTCACCTGCCGTCCTGTTCTGCCCACTCCATCAAGGCCTGGGGCTCAAGGGAGGTTTGCGGGCAGAGGGATGGGACAGCCCATCAGGTTGGGAAAGTTTCTGAGAATCAGTCCCTGGTTCCCCATTACCTGTGGCTGGTCCCTGGGAGGGCCCCATAGACTTCCCGGAAAGCCACACCTGTTACAGAGAACTCCCTGCTTCAGCCTAGGGCGAGTTCAGGGTCAAGATCAGAGGGAGAGGGGCTGGGAAGGGGGCTCTCTGAATGAGTGGTCCAGGGTACTGAAGGGTGAGAGAGGTGGCAGTGGCACAGCCAGCCCAGGAAACCAGACTGGCTCTGTCCCGCTTGGGGGTGTGCGTGGGGTGGGGTGGCCACTCTGCGTGTGAGCGTCGCGGGGGGGCGTCCTGTTTGCTTTGGTGACTTGGCAGCTGCCAGGCTATTGGGGAATCTCTCTCAGCTGCTGGCGGGGGCTGTCTGGGCCTGTCTGGGAAATGGAAACCATTGGCAGTCTGAGACACGATCACATTCCGCCCAGCGGGCCTGCCGGGACCCTGGGACCGAGGGCCGGGCTGGGGGTGGTGGGCAGGGCAGGGCGAGGCTAGGCTGTGAGGCAGGCACCTGGCCCATCCTGAGGGGCCCCGTCAGGGGACTGGGGTGGGGCCTCTGGGGGAGGCTGTAGGGGAGGGGACTGGCTCAGGGACGGGAGGAGTCTCAAGAAGACCCTCTATTTGGGCCATGTCCTTTAGATTTCCAGCTGGCTGAGACCTGAAGGCATCAGCCCCTCCCACTAGGCCTCTTGAGAAGGAAGGTGGAAGGGGTCTGCCCCTCATAGTTCTTCCTGTTCCCTTTACCATGGTGCCCCCTCCCAGCCTGCCACTTCCCCAGCCTGCAGCTAAGCTCCCCTTTGCCCACTCTAGCCCAGGACTCCCCACCTGTGAGAGGGAGATGGGGAAAGATTAGGCAAGGTCTCTGGGTCGCCAGGGGGCTCAGGGATGGGGACAGCTTCAGAACACTGTCCAGATGGAACCACAACCCCTGCAGCGCTTCCCTAGAGTCTAGGCTCTGCGGAAGGGGGGTCAGTGGCTCAGAGGCCCCCAGGGGAGGCGTATGGGTGCTGTGGCAGGGTACGATGAAGGACGGAACCCTGCTAACCCCGTTCTGAGTTAGATGGGGCAGTGAGACTCTACCCCTCTCCAAGCCACTGTTTCCTTATTGGTAAGTGAGGTGGTAATCTGAGCTACTGTGACCAAGCTACAGTGTAGCAAGTCTGGTGGGTTTGGGTCTGGTTTCCCAGGCAAGTTGAGCTCTTGGTCCTCGGTGTCTCCCCTGCATCCAGCCCAGAGCCAGGACCACGTGCAGCAATTTCAGGCTGAGGGCTTCCTGGTTCCCCAACCCATCTGCCCATCAGACACAGGGTCCAGGAGGGTGTGGCTGAGGTAGCAGCTCCCTGGGAGGGCCCAGTGACGGTGACGTCCTGCTACCCGTCTTCTCCGTATTAGGTCATGGGAAAGCGTAGCTGGAGGGCCCGCCTGAATCACAGGTGACGGCCTTGAGACCAGAGACAGGCACACACACACGCAGACGCCCAGCACAGGGGTTCAGAGAAATGAGGCAAAGCCCCGAAGGTGGGAGGGGAGGGGGCCCACAGCCACCTGGGAGCTGGCAGGCAGCCAGCGGTGATGAAAGGCCAGGGGAATGGAAACAGAGCAGCCAGCCTGTTGTAATCCCTACGCCCACTTGTTGGGGCTATAAAGGAAGCAGGCGAGCCCCGGCAGCAACACACACCTTGGGCCTCTCTCCTCTTGAGCCTGCTCTCTCTGTGTCTGCCTGCCACCAGCTGCTGCCACCATGACCACCACCATCCGCCAGTTCTCCTCCAGCTCCATCAAGGGCTCCTCTGGCCTGGGGGGCGGCTCGTCCCGCACCTCCTGCCGGCTGGCTGGCAACCTGGGCGCTGGCTCCTGCAGACTGGGGTCTGCCAGCGGCCTGGGCAGCGCCCTCGGGGGCAGCAGCTATTCTAGCTGCTACAGCTTCGGCTCTGGTGGTGGCTTGGGTGGTGGCTATGGCAGTGGCTTTGGAGGTGTCGAGGGGCTGCTGGTGGGAGGTGAGAAGGCCACCATGCAGAACCTCAACGACCGCCTGGCCTCCTACCTGGACAAGGTGCGTGCCCTGGAGGAGGCCAACGCTGACCTGGAGGTGAAGATCCGCGACTGGTACCAGAGGCAGGCCCCGGGGCCCGCTCGAGATTACAGCCCCTACTACCAGACCATTGAGGACCTGAAGAACAAGGTAGGGGCTGTGGTGGGAGGGGCCTGGTGCGGGGCACAGCTCTTCCTCCCCCATCTCCTGCCCTTGACCAGGGCCTGGAGTCCAGCCTGGGGGCTGCCACAGTGTCTCAGGGGGCCCAGGACAGTTTGGCTCCAGCTTGGCCTCTGGGAACCCACCTTGGGGCCACTGTGTGGCCAATGGTCTCCTTTTTGGGGCAGCAGCCTGGGCTAGGGACAAGCAGACTTTGAGGCTCCTTTGAGCCTCAGTTTCCCCATCACATCACAGAGCCTCTTGCTACCTTGTGTGGCTGCAGGACAAGATGAGAGGAAGCATGGGGAGGGACGGGCCTAAGGGTCTGCCAGATACCCTGGCACCTCTCTCCTTGGAGCAGGAGGGAGATTTAGGGCTAGAGTAGGGTGAGGGCTCTGAGTGAGCTCCTGCTGGCACCTGCTGGGAGGAGGCGGCAGGAGAGAGGGCGGGGCCTCAGGAGGAGGCCACTTGCCTTATTTGGGGATTTTTCTGGCTTCCCTATTCCTCCTGCTGCCCCCTCAAACTGGGGCTCAGCAAACCTGGGATGGGGGTGGGGCTGCCTGCTGGAGCCCGGGGTCAGGGCTTACAAAGGTCATGACATCCGATTTGGAACTACTCTTTGGTGAGGGCTCCTTTTGCCTTCTGTTTTGGGGGAGCCTCTCAGAGACACTATGTCTCCAACTGTAAAAAGAGGGGTTTTCCTATATCCCTCCTCTTTGTGAGATTCTTTCCGGGATTTGAGGACAGCCTCTGCCCGTGGGCATTTTCCCTGTTTTTTCTGGCTCTCTGGCATTCCCAGGCTGCCACTTCCAGCAGCTGCCTGCTTTGGTCTAAGGCAGAGCCTGGAAAGAGGGGGTCACTGTTAGGGGCAGCAGGTCCTGGGGAGGTGGGCAAGTTTCAGCCATCAGATTCCCGTGAGCCCTCCTCTGTCACCAACTTCAGTGCTGTCAAGGGCAGAGGCTGGGTGGGAAGGGAGCCTTCCTGAAGAAGGCAGCCACATCCTGGCCCCAAGGCAGGAAGACCTGTCTCAGAACCCTGATCTGGGCTGAGTTCACCCCACCCAGAGCCCTGATGACTCTCCCATCTCTGCAGATCCTCACAGCCACTGTGGACAATGCCAACATCCTGCTGCAGATTGACAATGCCCGTCTGGCTGCTGATGACTTCCGCACCAAGTGAGCCTGGGCCAGGGGGCTGGGGAAGCACGGGGGCACCCCTCTTTACCCCAGGACTCCTCAGGTGTTGGTGGAAAGGTCAGGAGCTGGGGGTGGGGGAGTCCATCTCCCAGTCCAGGATGAAGCAAATGTTGCCAAATCCGAAGGTGACTGGGTTTAGTCAGGTGATGGGAGAGAAGGAAGGGGAGGCAGGAGGCAGAGAGGAGAGAAGTAAGGAAACCGGGTCAGGGTGGGGCCTGGTCCTGAGTGGCCCCAGGGCCCCATGGCTAGGACTTGCCTCCACTTCGCCCCCTTGTCATTCCTTAGAAGCCCTGGCAAAGTCAGGGTGCTGGCCAGGACCTGGACCCGTCAATTCAAGCAGCTTGATGGAAGTCTCTGGTTCCCCTTGCAGGTTCGAGACAGAGCAGGCCCTGCGCATGAGCGTGGAGGCCGACATCAACGGCCTGCGCAGGGTGCTGGACGAGCTGACCCTGGCCAGAGCTGACCTGGAGATGCAGATTGAGAACCTCAAGGAGGAGCTGGCCTACCTGAGGAAGAACCACGAGGAGGTGAGGTGGCTGGGGCTTAGGTCAAAGAGGCTGTGGAGTGGGTGGCAGGACCCTGGGGCTGTGCCAAGGCTGAGACTGTGGGAAGAGCGCAGATATCCAGGCTGGTCACCTACAGGGCTGCCCTGTCAGCAGAGCCCTGATGTCCATGCAGGGCAGCCTCCTCCATACACCACCTTGCTTCCCTGAGTCTGGGGAGCCTCTCAGGGGCCCGCTGAGGCCTCTTCTGCCCATCCTGGCTTCCCTCACCAAGACAGGGGATAAGTGAGGAGGTCGCTTTCTTGTCCCAGCTCAAACCCTTGAATCTGGATGCTATGTTGAAGTTTGGAAATTGGAAGGGATGTTTTGGGGGCTTAGGCCTAAGATTTAGATTTCATCTTTGGAGAGCCCTCAGCCTAATTGGGGAGACACAGAATCTGTCTTCAGGGAATTCCTAGTCTGATGGTGGAGGCAAAGCCCTCCCAGAGCAGGTGACAAAAGTCATTGGGAGGGTCAGAGAGTAGAAGACAGGCAGAACAAAGGCATCTGTGGGAGGGGTCCGGAGAGCTTGTGTGGGAATGGTTGGGAGTGAGAGATCAGGGGAGATGCCCACACCCACCATCCCCTCCTCCACAGGAGATGAAAGCCTTGCGAGGCCAGGTGGGTGGCGAGATCAATGTGGAGATGGACGCTGCCCCCGGCGTGGACCTAAGCCGCATCCTGAACGAGATGCGCGACCAGTACGAGAAGATCGCGGAGAAGAACCGCAAGGACGCCGAGGACTGGTTCTTCAGCAAGGTGGGGGCTGCCACAGGCCAGAGGCTCTCTTGGGGCTTGGTGCATGGCCTGGGTCCCCGAGGTGATCCCAGAGACTGGCATCGTGGGTGTCTTATTCTCAGTGAGCCG